GCTGACATCCCACAGTACTGCACTGTGTGAATACAGCACTACTGCAGTTCCTGAGCCTGAAGCCCACTTCTGCTCAGAGGAGGCAATGCAAAGAGGTGTGCTGCTTAAACCTCATTTATAGTCTGGTCTGGGGATTTAATGATGTGTGTGTATTCTGCCCTTTTGGGGTGGAGGGTGAAGTTCAGCCTAAAATGAGAGCAAAGTTTCAGCCAGGCTTGTTAAAGCAGGTGCCCAATGGGATTTTAAAACTGATATTGGTTCTTCCACAGGCTTACTTTAAATGACTTGTTCATCATCTCACTGTAGATTAGATTCCTGTTTCTGTGATACCCTGCTCTAGTCATAAGACCTTGAATTTTACAGTCACCTACTTAGAAATATCGCTTAAAGAAACCCAAAACCTGGAAACCAACTTTAAAAAAAATCAGCCACTTAATGTGAGTACCAGAAACTAGCCACTGTTGTGGCCATACTCTGGCTATTATTTTTTTAGTAGATGTGCTGTAAGAGTACAGATAAAATAGAGTAGCATTCACAGTCTATGTATGCAGCTGATGCTAACTTCTCTGAACAGTCTCAAATTCTATGATTTAGCCACAGAAATTTGTGTCAATTATACAAAATAATGAATGAATAAATGGCTTTTAAAGAGATGCAGTTATGTGCTGCATTCCACAACATTTACAGACAAATGTGTAGTGGGCTTATACAGCAAAAAAAAAAAGGTGTTACAAATCATGTTACAATTTCATACTGATATGCTGTACTCTATAGGCATAATTTTTGTGCTAAGGAGACAACTTGGGTTGTTTTTTTTTAAAAAAAATAATTTTGGCAACATATATAATACAAAAAATTCCCATGTAGGTGTAGTTGTAACTGTGCTGCTAAAATTGCAGTGGTTAACACTAAGTAAATTAGAATATTAGAAGTGTATGTGTCATAAATGTAGAACTCCAAAATAATTGAATGTGATATAACAAACTGAGCAAGTATTCAAGCAGTATGTTTGGAGGCTTTGAGAAAAGCATCCAGATCCAATTAGAACCATTTATTGAGGTCTGTAGAGTTTCCTTTTTACTTTCCTATATATGTTAAATGGCAAGTAATTATTGTAATAAAATGAACAGTATTAGCTGTAATTCTTGAGGAGTGACTTAGTAAAATACATACCTTTCTGTGCATCCTTTCAGTAGATAATATAACATTTTTACTGCTTGTATAGTGATTGAACTATTGCTTTTAATACCATTTGTTATTTCCACAGATATAGTTAAAACTGTTCAAGCTCAGACTCTGCTATAGTGTATATTGTATGAGTATTTCTTGCTTGTAGGAAGCAAGACAGTAGCTTATGGTTTAGCAGTGGGTACATTTGTGGGTGAAATTCAGTACTGGGAAGGGGGCCAGTTCCCAGTGATTTCATTCTTCAGTAGAGAACATTAATGCAGAAGTCTTGCACTAGCCAAGGGAAGTCAACTCTCCTGACCCTAATCATCCAAAATGACTCCGTGGCTAGAAGCCACAAGACGCCGAGTACACAGTCTGTGGAGCCAGGGAGAGGGGGAGCCCTGGAGCAGCTGGCACTGGGCCCTCCAGTCTGGGGAGGACTGGTGAGGAGGAGGACTGGGCAGGCTGCTCGGTGGCCCTAGGACGCTGCCAGCTCTGCAGCCTGTGGCTTCAGTTCCCCCACACCCAGCTCCTGCGTGCATACCCTCAGCAGGGCCGTTGTGCTTGCACTGCTTTGGGAACCACAGATTAACTTCCCTGGTTCTCACCCCCTAAAAAGAAAACTTATTGTTTCCCTTAGGTCCTCTGTTGTCACATTTGTGTTACTGAACGTGAGCGCTCCATTTATTCCATTTCCCTCAAGGTACTCTGTCTTAGGACAAGAAAGCATCAAACCATACTTCAAAAATTAAATTTATTTTGTCTAGAATGAGACAAAATGTGATAAACCAGTATAATACATCTTAATGTGCTTTCTAAATAATCCTGATCCTGAGCATGGTGAAGACAATCCCCTCTGAGAAGCTGGTACTGAGTGACTTGTCTTTCCACCTCACGTATCTTTTTTGGTTCAGAAAAAGGGTGGAGGTAAAAGGCAAGCAGTAAGGATTTCACCTTCATCACTGACCCATAAAATACTTTAGAATAAATGTGGTCCTAAGTTTAGTCACCCCCAAAATAACTACAGGAACAGTAACTGAAATTCAGCAGTGAAACAGATGTTACATTTTCCATGTACTCGTCTCAGCACTGTGATCAACATTCAGATTAGCAACTGAATCTCCTTCCACATTCGTCACCCAGCTTGTAATTGACTTCAATGTGAGACTGCAGAACTTGAACCTGCTCACCTTCTGTTAGGGTATTTCTGCTTCATGTTTTCTTGAATTTATTCTAGTTGGAAGCTAGTTGGTTTCTCATTGTTTCATAATGGAAAAGGTGCAGAACACATAAAATCAGGAAGAAGTAAATTGTTATTCTCCCCATCCAAAGGAGTTTCAAAGTGGGATCCTGGGCTTGAGAGGAAGTACAGAGTGACCGTAGTGTTTTCCTGCTGCCAAGCCCTGTGGTACATGCTGTATTCTTGTTGTGGTGATGAAATAGGTTTCTATACCACAAGTAAATGGAATAATTCTAAACTCAGCATGATAGTTAAAGCTCTTGGCTTTCAGAAAACAGTGACTTAAGCAGCAAATCAAACAACCTATTTTATTTTTGATTCAGTGCCATGACGTTGACTAGCTAGAATCTTATTTTTTGTGCAGTCATAAAATTCTCTTAGGCCACTCACTATTGTGCACTGGTGCTGTGAAATGTGAGAGAATTCCAGGCACACATAAGAAAATATCAACTTGCTGTGGAAGATTTACCAGGGAGGCAACAGTCAAATTCTTTCTTTGTATGCAATTCTAAGCCTGTAGCAGCTCCCCTGTCTCCAGCAGATGAGAACAAAATCTGGCTCATTTAATCTAATTTTGTCTCCACCAACATATCCTTCTCTCTAGGTCTGGTCTGCAGAGCTGATTTTTATAATAGCTGCAATGTGAAAAAAGAAAAATGAAAAAAAAATCTCAGGATAGAGCCTCCAATGCTTCCTTTGGACGTTTAGTGATTCCCACTGTTGACCAGTAACTACATAATTTTTTTTATATTGCTAATGATGCCTGGGATGCTGGAATAGCTAACATTTATTCAGACAAAATGGTTTATCATGGTATAACAGGATCAGCATCTCAGCTGAGGCTTCTGGGTGCTACTCTACTATGAACAAAATAAAAAACCACAGCTGAAATTAATAGTATATTGGAGACATGTCCTTACTCTCCTTGCACATGGGAGAACGTGTTGAGGATATTAAATCAGAACACAACAAATTGAGAGAAATGGATTTTTCTCTAAATACCAAACACATTAGACAGCAGTTATCACCAGTAACCAGCAGTGCTTCTTAAAATGCTGCTACAACATTCCTAATGGTTGGTTTTCCTTGTGGCTATGTAGGCATGTGCTCTGTGCTGGCTCCCCCCTCCTCCAGCGCTGCCATACGTAGGAAGCTATTATCCCCAAATGGACCATTTGCTTGCTGACATCACATGCGGTAGGATCTTTTGTTTGCCTGTGTCTCCTGCGCTGAAATGTTTGTCTGAGTCACAGATCCCGCTGCTTTTCTTCCTCTATGTCATGCTTGCTTGAGAGCTTCTCCCCGACTCACAGTTTTTAGATTTTGACACAGCCCAGTTTGCTGCATGGCACTTGAATACTTTCCCTCTTCATATTTTATTATGTAATTTACATCTAAACACTAGAATGATCCAAACCTCACTGCCGCTTTTTCTGCAGCTTTTCAAATAGAGAGGTCCTGTGACTCATTCAGCACTGAATTTTGTTTCAAGGGAAAGTCACTTTAGTATCACTAAATTAAAAATTAAAGATAGTGACTCCCACAACTTGAATTTTCCATTTAGGCTGCTGGCTGCATTTCCTCTGCTATAACATCATCAAGCACTACCCAGAAAAGGGTCATATGTGTACAAACACTTCTTATAATTGAGGTAATTACTATTTTGCACTGCAGTACCTTTCTTCTCCTCTAATAATCTCATTGATTTATTTTCTCTTAGTAAAAACAGGACAAACTCCTGCTGTATTTTCAGTGTACATTCGTTTAGTTTAGATTCTGGAGCTGCTTATATATTGCTTATATATAAGCCTGATTTCCTGTTCATTAAAGCCATGAACAAAACAGATCCTGACTGCAGAATCTTCATTCTGAACGCTTTGGTAAGAGAACATGGAAGCTAAAAGCTATGCAGCAGTTTGGTTCAAGCTTGAGTGATGGTAAAATATTCCTGCTTACTGTGACAGGAACATAAAATTACCATGCTGGATTAAATCTTTTGTCCCTCAGATCTAGTCTTTCATCTCTGTTGTTTCCACTACAAGATAAATGAGAAGTTCAAAACAGCACTTGGATTGTCCTTGACCAAGGACTTTGCAGCAGGTAAGGGCTAATGCCCCTGTCTGGCACAGCATTTAGGCATGTATTTGTCTTAAAGCATCCATCAGCAGCTCCACTGCCTTCTGCTCTGGTCTGAGGCATGTGAGCAGACTGCTGTGTGAAGCCTTGTTAAAATTCAGATACACACAAAACCAGAAGAGTGCTCAAGACCTGTGTCATTAAATGCACTCCATTAGATGCTCGCATTTCATTGGGTTTTTACCCAGAGTAACAGAAGCATTGTATTGTCCATCTCCCCCCAAAAAAAGCTGAAGCCTCTTGCTATAGAAAACACAGATTTTTATTATAAAACTAAAATTATACCACGCACAAAAGAATTTCCTGTGGCAGAAGTTTGAATATTGCAGTCTTAATGTTAACATAATGTCCAAGCAGGAATTTGAGTCTCTCAAGCTACCTTTGGTTGCATGTTTGCTATACAACTGTTCTGTAGCACACATTTTTTAACATTCAACTTCTGAATCACTCTCACTTTTCCTCTTCTCTCCGTGGCCGTTTGCGAGGGTTCATTTCAGTTTCTTCTGCATGTTGAGTGACAGCTGGAGGCTGCACATCTCGGAAGCCATGAGACTGTAACATACAAGCAAAATCATGTGGTAGCACTTCTGTGGATATAAAGCATGAGTAACTAGTTCCCAGAAGATCAGAATAAGGTATGATGCTGTCATTTATTTTAGGTGAGCAGCCACAGAATGTTTATAGACCAGGCTAAGCTCAGGAGGGAAAGCTTTTTGACACACATGCCAAATAATAACAACATCTCCTCATTTTATTTGGAAAAGATATTTTATTTTCACCAACCAGGCTATCATTTTCATTTTACTATTAATAACCCCTATGGCTATGAAGCACTGCTTCTCTGTAAATTAACTTACGTTGCCTATTTAAATAAATTAAAAGCCAAATCCTTCAGCCCTTAGTCATGCTCCCATGGAAGCAAGGAAATGACTGGATTAATTGGCTCAGTCATTTGCAGAAACAAACCTGTGAATTTCTAAAACCTAGGATATTTTTGTTTTGTGTATCTACTTAATGAACTGAAAACATCAATGAGACATTGTAAGAGAACAGCACATCTGAATCAGTCTCTAAACTGCAAAGACTATTCCATCATAGTAATTTATGGGACACAATGGGATGAGAACCTTTAACTGCCAAAAACTAAATGCAGAAGTGAAAACTAGATGCTGCTACTCTGGAGAGAGCTTAAAGTGATCTATTTGGCCTAGTACCATTATTTTTTCTGTTACCTTAGCTTACAATTTAATGATTTTAAAAGATTTTAAAATGTGAAAGATCTGGAAAATTGTTTAGTTAAACATGTCATCACTGCAGACTGAGACACTGAGCTGCTGTGTGAAGCCTGCAACTGTCTGTCGTCCCCAGTGCTGTGCAGGGAGCACTGCTGACAGCTCAGTGAAGATTCACTGCAGTGAAGACTTACAGATGAAAAGGGGTTAATCAGGAAAAGAAATTGCTTTGGGGACGCTAAATACTCAGGCAGAGACGATGTGGGAATGAGAGAATTTCAGGACAGCTGACATCTTAGGTTGCTGGAGTGTGAAAAAGCAGGTAGAATTACTATCAGACGTGTGACTTTTCCAAAATGCCAGTGGGTCCCCCATAAGGAGATCAATCCAAAACAAACCCAATCAAAATGTTTTGCTTAAGTCTTCCATCTCAGTGTTACCATTTCTAAATGCCTCACCTCACACAGCCTGCTGTTTTTAAAGGAACAAACAGCAAGAGCTGTCACAAGGGCAGGATTTGTGCAGTCCCTCTGCTATTATAAGCAACTCAAGTGTTATTCTAAATAGCATAATGGGGAATCTTCAAGTTTAGTGTTTCACTGCTGCTTGCATCTAATCTCTGCCATTTCCCTTAGGCACAAAGGTGGAGCTGTAGCCAAGAATCCACTTAATCCAGCATGCTAGACTCCCAGCGAACACATTCCAATGGCTATAAAAGCCAGAACACCATAAAGTAGGCTGCTTAGTATGGATGTTTTGCATTTAAAGGCATGTACCTTCTGGGCATGGTGCCTTGAGAATACAAGAATTTTGTGTATATTTGTGAAGCTTGTTAGTGGTTTTTAAATGGCGAGAGTGTGGCAAATGGAACCAAGGACCTACAAAGCTCAGATAGGCTACAGTCATTTTGAAATGTTGTCTTCTGGCAGCTACAGACTGCATCAAGATTGACAAAGGCAGAAGGTTTTATTCCTTGAGCTGTAGTCTCATTGCTGGTCTGGCAGACCCTCAGGGAAACACTGACAATTCCTACCCAGTATGTAGGTCCTGGGTCTCTGTCTTTCATGATGAAATAATCAGGTCGTGTTACCTGAGAAATTTAGGTGAATCAGATGATCTACTTACTCCCTTGTGCATAAATCAATTTACATTTCTATACTCTGCATTTAAGAATGAATCCTTGTCCTGTGAAAGAAACTGTTTCATTTGATAGGTGTTCCACAGCTCCCACACTTACTCAGTGGTGACTTGCCAGTATGCTGGGATGGACACAGCTGAAAAAGAACTAGAGCTCAGTCACCAAGTTACACGCTTCTCCTCTGGCTTACACTGGACCTGAACAGCCAGTTTGTTAATGGTACCAAAATATCTGTTTGCATAAGCCTAAACATCTTTGAGAATCTAGGCTTGAGTAATTTATTATTTTTTAATTATATTTTTCTGTATGCTAGTTATAGATAAATGTGCTAGATCAGATTTGGAAACGTTGAATGGGTTATTTACATCTCCCAGTTTAGCTACAGAGATGGGAATGAGAACTGGTAACAGCAGCAGACTGTTACCATCAGACCTGAATTGCATGAAAGAAACAGGGATGGTTTCTTTAAGTAAAAAAAAATTATCTTCTGAAGCAGCTCAATAGGATTAAGGCAAAAACACAGGGATAATCTTAAATTTTAACTAATCTTTGATAAGGATACACTCTCAATTGTGTTTCAAGATTGTGTGCATTCAGACAGAAGAAGAAAGCATAGCTGTTTTATGATGCATATAAAACTGAAAGGAAAAGGCAATTAAACTGTCCATGGTAAAAGCCATCTGTTGGTCAGCTGGAGAGAAAGGGCTGGACACTCAACCCCACATGATCCCAACAGCCTTGGGATGTAGTCCCACTTACCCTCCCAGTCCCTACAGAAGTAAGACTTTATTTGCAGTATTTCTTCTGTCCAGGTGAATACATTCAGGAGTGAAAAAAAAAAGAAGCTGATTTTTGTTCAATAGTTTGAAGAGCTCATCTTAGGGCAGCATTAAAATCTGCAGGAAATGCTATGGCAACGTGTTTCCATGAGGACACACAGCAAATAGTCATGGCATCTACCTATGTTCTGACATTTGAAGATAAAAGAGTGGAGTGGTGGGGTTTTTTAAACCTAAATACAGCTTAGACAGTATGTATTCTCATTAATATGCATCTAAGTGCTCCACAAAAGAAAATAATCACAGGATTTAACTAGGGATGAATGAGGACTCCAGCCATAAGCTGGAAACTCCTCATATGTTAGTGACAGAAGAGAAAAATCTGTGTGTTGGCTGGTCATAGGGCAACCAGTAGGACAGGGCTATGAGAGAGATAAATACAATCTAGGTTATATCAGGCAATGCACTTCAAGTAGAGGTGTGGAAATATATATGGCACAAAGAGATCTCTGGAACACCATGTATCATTCTGGTCACCCCTGTCCTAAAAAGATAAACTCACTTGGAACAGATGCAGAGAAGAGCCACTTGGGAAACAATAAGCTACCTGACAAGGGAGAAAACAGCTTGGCTTGCTCAAATCTCCCAAAATGAAGGCTCAGAGAGTGCATGATTCCTGTCTACAATTGCACTTAGGCCAAAAGTTAACATCAAGGGCAGATAAAATAAGCAGCACTAGCACAAGAACAGATGGGGACAGGCAGCCTCTAAATTTGATCTAGAAATCAAAATGTTTTAACACTAAGAGGACTAACATGCTGGGTCATTAATCTAAAGAGAAAAGGTGCAAAATAATCATAAAGCTGGAAACATGCCAACGTTACTGGTTACCTTCAGGAGGCAGCTGAAAGGCAATGCTAAGAAAGCCACCATTGTTCTCAGATTTGTCTATGTCTTAAAGTTCCTTTACAGCTAACTGTTTGCTCCCACCCCTGTATCTCCATCCCAGAAGAAATACTAACTGTGATGCAGTATGGTATGGTTGACTCCTTCTGACTTGGGGATTTGTACAACGTTGCCAGCCTGGTTAAACAAAAAGAGATAATTATGATTAGTGAATGCAAGAATTAAAAATTCCAAGTGACTAAATGACCAGTTTTCCTGCAGTTGTGGGGTAGGTGCCCAGTGGAATTCTTAGGTATCTATTTTCATATAGGTCATTTAAACTGTGGATAACACATTCCCATCCTTACATGACCTGTCAGCTCAAATACAACGTAGACCTACTAAAGAGAGTGAAGGATTAATTAGCCCTGATTCATTACAGCATTTGATCACATTTTTGGATCAATATTCATTATGAATTAACTCCAAATGCCACTTTCTTAAAATGCAAACAAAAAAGGTTTTGAGCCCAACTCTTTCTTACTCCATTAAGCAACCATTTGTTCATTGACCTCTCAAAGCTGGGAGACAGCCTCAGGAATTCAAATACTTCTGTGGAGTTTTTTTTTCTAGAGATTCACCAGCCCCTCAATATAACCTAGTGATGGAGAAGGAGAAGATGTTCTAGTTCTGAGCCTGACCTTGGCACTGACATACAGCCTAACCTTGAGAAAATCGTTTCCCTTGTACTTCTCCTCTAACACTTCCTTGATGTTGTGTGTTTAGGCTCTGAGCAATGCATCACGATTTGTGCTTGTGCAGCACCTGGCCCAGGAGAGGCTTGCATAATACAGACAGAAGGTTGCAGAGCAGCTCAGAAGCAAGGGTTCTTCAGCTGGCCCGAGGGCTGCTAGTCTGCACCATGCCCACCTCCCCAGAACTGACACCTGTGGAAAGCCAATGCAGAAAGTGTTCTCCTCTGTATCAAGACACCCTGCCAAAGATCCTGTTAATTATTTTCGGGTTTTTTTTCTTCCCTGAGGTGCCATTCTATTAGAGAGCACGTAATTACAGCCTGAGGAACACTGCCACTTCGTATTAGCTACACAGGGAATTCCTCAGAACATTTAAGTGGTGGGTTATACTTCAGAAAATAGCCTAAATCTGAAGCTGCAGAAGCTTTGCTTTCACAAGCGCTCAGCTAGAGCTCTGCTGTATGCCTCTGACTCAACAGGATCTTTCCTCACAGCAATGAGAACCCTTGTAATTAAGCTCTGACATTTTCAGTAGTAGAAGGAAAGAGACAGGTATCATATTTGGCCAAAGCACAGCTCAAAAAAATATGAAAGGCAAATGGATTCTCACATCTTTGTGCCTCAATAACCTAATATAAAACCAACAAAACCATGATGGATCATCAGGTAGTTCATGTAAAAATGCAACAGAACCCAGCCATTTCTGCTTTTTATGGCTAGGCAGTTGAAATTGGGATTGCTGTGCTTCTGCAGACCCTGCTCCACATTAGCTGCATATTTAGAACAGTAAATAAACCCCATTTGTCTGTCTTTGGCTTGCTTTGTGGAACCCAGATCCCCAACCTTCCTAGCTGTGCTGCAGAAGAAAAAAAAAAAACTCTTTTTCTATATAAAATTAACTTTTGTTCACTCTGCAATCATTATGTTGATGCAACTTCTGTCTTATAAGGCTGTTAACTAATCAGTGATGTTAATTTAATTCCAAATTAAACAGCCTGCTGCAATCATTCTGCACTGCCTTCAAACCTGGAATTTAAAAACCATAACTCTACAAGAAAGCATCACTGCATTTCTCTTTCAAGTTTAACAAGCAAAGCTATGAAAAACAGCATTCCAGGAGCATTTTTGTTCACCGTTTGCAGATTAGGGAATTGAAGCAAGGCTTCTTAATCTCAAGTTGCTGCATTGTGATACTCTGTACAAGGCAAATATAACTAACAAGGAAAGCAGTGAGCTTGCAATATAGTGAGAAGGGGAAAAAACCACAGGAAACAGAAAAGATCTCACTGCAACAGACAGAACTTCACACTGTTTTTAGAAGGGTCATCCTCATGCCTTTGAGCTTCTAAAATCGCCCTCCCTAGGTCAGCTCTGCACTAGGAGTAAACACAGGTTTCTCTCTACCTCCTTGTAGGTCTCTGTCACTTGGTATCTGCCTGGCTGTGCAGCTCTGCAGAACCACCCTGCTGCACTCAAAAGCAGGAAGGTCCAACGACTGCCTGGGCAGCTCAGGGGTCAGCAGGCCTGTGGTCTGCCCTCCTGAGAGCCACTAGCCACGTGGAAAGCCTTCTCTGGCATCTTTGGCTTTGTGCTGACTGAGGCCTAAAAGGCTGAAGCAAAGAAATTCTAATCCCTGCTTACAAAATGCAGAGAGTAAAACAAATTTTCTCCTTAGCCACCAGATGCTAAACTCTTGTGTGTGAGCAACTGCCACTAGGATGTTCTATTCTGGTGAGACATGGCCTCTTGTCAGCAAGCACAGCACTGCAGCGAGCTGACCACGGTGAGGAAGAGCATGACAGTTCAGCCCACACCAGCTCAGGCTGAACTAGAAAGCTCTTCTTCAGCTTCACGGCAGATGGCAAATTCAAACCCTGTGTGGTCACTAGGGCCAGTCTGAAAAAGACCCTCAAATGCCACACTGGTCAGTGTTACTATGTACCTTACTGGCCTGCGCTTCACTTACCTCTGACTGTTGTCCCAGTGAAAGATTAAACGGACAGTAGCAGCATGTCCCCAGCTTTCCCCTGGGTGGCACAAAATGACAGGCCATTATTTATCTCCTATAACAGCAGCAGGATCAGTAAGCCAAACTGATACTAGACCAGTCTTCAAAAAAAACACCCCATAATTATAACATACATACCTTTCTTGCAATAATGAATCATATCTTTTTCATATGTGCATGAATTTCTCAACTAGTTTATCAAATATACTGAGACAAGGAATAACCTCTGTACTCACAATTTGTTTTATAGAACCCTTGATGTGATACTTCCCTGTTTGTAGAAGGATTTCATACAGACCTAATAAAGGACAGGTACTACACAGATCAGGAAGGGAGAAGCAGCATGAAGAAAAGATTTTTGTAATTACTGCTGAAGAAATCTAGTATGTCTAAATCCTCCTTCAAAATAGTGTTATTCTGTCTCTCAGGCATAATTATGAGCAAACATCACTCCCTTTGGGATACAAGCTTTGGGAGAAAGTCAATGATTATTAAAGTATTAAGGGCCCCTGGAGCAGTCTTCTGCTTCTGACAGCACAACGCAAAAGAACACAACCAAAAGCAAGGGGCAGGGTAGGAAGGGAGGAGGAAGTTTGGATTGTTATCCCATTTTAGGGGGAACTGTCCTACTGTTTCAGTTCACACCTGACCACAAGCTCAGTCAATTTATAGGCAGTTTTATTAGGTGTTTTCCTCTGTTTATCCCAGGAGACAGTCAGTAGTCCCAAGATGGACTGGATTTTGGTTGAGTGCTGCAAGCCTCTCCTATTCACCTGCACACAGCCCTGTAACTTCACAGTCACTTGCTGGTCTCCATGATGTCACCAGCCCCACAGGCCCCATGTGCTCTCCTATTCATTACAGCATCAGGAAGAAGACAAAAAATTCAACTGTAATGAAGACCTAGACCCTCCAGGCATCCTGGCAGACCTTGCTCCACTATATCTAAGTTGAGATTAAAGATTTTGGCTATTAGATACAGTTCTGAGTCAGAGATCAAAACACATTTTACAATGCATACAAATTCCACACCGGAATATTTCCAACTACATCAAATAAGAGAAAAATGTGACTGTAAAATGAGATATTTCTGAGTTAAACTGGCTGTAGATTTAATATTTGACCTCCTTTCTAAATATATCCAGTAGAAATGTCTAGGAACACCCAGCTTAGCTATCACTGCTGGGAAAGCAAGCTGTCCCCTTCATAAAGCTCTTGACTTAATACCTTGCAGCATCTGTGCCTTTCCCCCCCCATAATTAAGAACTTCCCTTCTGCTAGGAAGCTGAATAAGAGTTTAGAGCTTAATGCTCTTGTGAAGTCTTAGAAAAGGCTGTTTCTAAGGCTTAGCAATCCATGGGGGAAAAAAAATCTGTTAAGGGGAGGCAAAAGGATTGATTTTATTTGGGGTTTTGCTGCTGACCTCTTTCCTCAATAGTTCCTTTGGCTACAACCAGCCAAGGAGCAGTAGGAGGTTCGTTAGCCCTTAGATTATTATAAGAGATTATTGCAGTAGCATCACTTCAAAGTGGATCGTAAAAATCACCTGGTAATCCACCTGCTCAGTACTGGCACTAAGTCTTATGGAACAAATTCACATCAAAATGTGAAAAACAGCTTTGTACCACTCAGAAATATTCAACCTAAGATACTGCTGGTTAGGAGGAGGGGAATATCTCTTAGCTTAAATATTTTATCAACTGGCATCAAGTTCCAGTTCTGTTAGAGTGCACACTAATGAGTTTAACAGGACCATGTGGTTACACACACGTTCTGGTGAGAGTCACAGTGCATGGTCAGGATGAGGTTATGTCAGATTAAATGTTTGTAAGAGGAAACACATGTAAGACAATACATGATACCTTTGAATTATAACCTAACTCCAAATGTCTTCACATTCTTTACTGTCCCTATGACTCAAACACAATAGCTCCGAAACAACACTAGTTATTGAAAAAAGACAGAATCTAATAACTTTAATTGAGTTTGTAGCCAGAAAGGCTGCCAAAAATAATACATCAGAGAGCAAAAGGCAAAGATGACAAAAAGGGTCAGACACTGGAAGCTGGGTCTTTATCTGCATGCACGGCTCAAAATTCCACATTCTTCACATTCTCAAAGGAGCTGATCTGTATTTGTTCATTTTATCTTACATCTGTGCCAAATGGTTCAATGCCTGTACAGACACTGAGAACATCTTTGTACTGTCCCCTCCTTCTCCCTCCCCTCCAGAACACGGGAATCACTACTTAGTTCACACAGACTGAAGCTGTGGACAGGGAAATCTCTGCCCCTTCAGTGCATCATAAACTAGTACAAAGTTACAACCTGAACTAAGATTTAAATGCTGAGCTTTTGCTTAATTTTTCAAAATCTCTGCTTCTGAAGAACTGTTCTGTTTTCCCCTCTGACCACAGCAGAAGAGTCTATCTGAGGTACTCTGCTCCTTACAGGGCAAAATGGAACAGTCTGTAAGAAACACTTAGACTCACTATGGGGAGGGAGGCTGTAGCTGAAGATCCCACACAGAACTTCCCTCTACCTCCTAACTGTAAAAAGCAACAGGCAGAAGAGTTTGAGCAACGCAGCAAATGTGCAACACCTTTGCAAATAATTAATGGAACGTGTTCAAATGTGGTGGCAAAATAAACAATTTAAGCTATTTTTTCCCTGTGAGCAGTTCTCAGGAAATTTAGGAAATTGCAGCATAGTCTGAGGTGTGTAACCATTAAGCTGTGTTCTTCTGTTAGTGCTTTAACCTGTTCATCACCACATTCCTGCAAAAGGCATACTGCCCCCAGGTCCTTTCCTACATTTTTTTGCATGATCATGCACCAGCCAATTTCAGTCTAAATTACCTGATGTATCAGAGGTTTACTAATTTAAATAGGTCAAGCTCACCTTGGCCACTTCTGGCAGAAATGGATTGGGAGTCAATGAAATAAACATCTCAGCCAACACGCAGGATGTGGCTGTGACCTCCAGCAGGGCTGGTGGCCTCCTCAGCTGACACAGCTGCAATGGAGGCAACTCCACAGCCTCAGGTCCTCGGGGAAGGCAGCAAGACACTAGCTGCACGTCTAGAAACCTAGTTACTCAGAGAGTTCTCAGTACCTAGTGCTTCCCCATAAAGGGTGATTCAGTCATTTTAGGGAGTGCTGATAGATGTAACAGCAAGTTTCTGCAGTCTGAAAATGTCACAGCTTTTAAAGTTATTTGTAATCCCTTTTCAAAAATCTAACCAGGATTCCAATCTGCACACTGTGTTTGAGTTTAGAATAAAATTTGATAATTGCTAATTACAATTACAGTGCTGACATAGATAAACACTAGAGTTCCACAATGCTACCCATTCCAGATGGGTCTAAGAGTTTCACTGTGGATTCTGCTACAATGCAGAAATTCAGAAAACAATTTAATTTTCATTGTACACAATGCCAAAAAAACGAAGTTGTATATTTGAAGATTAACTCAGCTTTCAACTGACAAGTTGAACACCTACCTAAAGCAGGTACCAACGTGGACTGGCTTTGTCCAATCCTTGTTGTCATTTGGTTTGTCAGAACCACCTAGAAGAGGAAACAAAAGCAAACAAACAAGAAAATCTCCAGAAAAGCAGCATACACATGGGAGGGAAGAGGGGGTTTTCCAAAAAGCTTTTATCAAGTTACTCAGGCAAAACTCTTGCCTGCTGTAATGAAGCTTTTGTTAACAAGAAGAAACCATAAAGGTGTCTCATCATTCCTAAATAACCAAAACAAAGAGAACCCTGCAAAATGTATTTTTAATTTGCATAGAATGTACATTTCTTTCATTCAAGGCTTTAAAGAAACCTAAATGTTTCCCTTCCTAAGGGATGAAAACTCTACACAACTTGTATATTCCACCATACTTGTACAAAATACTGGTTGGATCTGCACTTAGACGCACGTGACTCGTACAGCCCTCTATAAAGAGAGAGATTTCAGTCACTGTGGTATAAATGAACTTGGTGGTGCTGCTCAGAACGTGCATAAGCCCAGTGATTAACAGAATTTCTGCACCTTGTAGTCTAAAAATGCACAAGTGGGTACAATACAGAGCAGAATGAAAGCGAACAGACAGAGCGGGGGAGTGTTTTCGCAGCACAAATCACTCGTAGGAGGTTCACAGACAGTCTAGGTTAGATCTCTGGTAGAAGTGGGGGTGGGTGAGACAGAAAAGAGGCAGGAATATTAACTGCAAAGTTCATTAAAAATGAAAAATAAAAAATTGTACCCATCTTAAACCCTTGAGGTTTTCATTGTTTGACGTGCTTGTATGATTCTTGCTTGAGCAGTTAGGAAAGTCTGTCAGAGTTAGTGATTCCAGCACACACAGAACACTGACGTCGCTGCAAGCCCCAAGGCACGGCGTGTGTTAGAGAGGTAGCTCATCATCTATGGGTGGAAACAGCCCCAGAAGGGCTCCCCCATCTCACTGCTGGAGAAGGGCTGGGCAGGGCATCCTAGCACAACCCTCCGAGCCCAGCTTTAGAAACTCAAGGAACTTGTTTTCTACCAAATTAGAGCACTGAGGCTGCCCAGCTTTGCTGCCTGACGAGCAACCTCTGGCATGCAAGCTGAATTTAGACTGCTCGTGAGCTACGAGGAACTAACATGACCACTGACAAGAGGGCCACTGAGATAAATTGTTTCTGAGCTCTGTGACTAATCAATTCTTTCACAAGTGTTTATTTAGCAAGCATCTGTACTGACCTGCTCACTTGTTCAACAGAAATCAGCTGTATACATTTCCCTTCATCAGAGGAAAAAAAAAAGACTGTACAATGACAATGACTGCTGTTCAAGGTCACCAGGTACCCAATTAATGAGTGAAAGCACTCGGTAAACCGGAGGCTGTGCAAATCAAACAGTCATAGAACATTTGTCTCCTTTGGTGTCCATGCCAGCAGGAAGAAGCCTCACAATTCCCATCAGGGTGGCAGAGAGGGGACACATCCAGCAGCGAGCCCAGTCGCCTCGCCCGGGCAGAACACAGAGCTCTGCTCCTTCCCTTCCTGCAGCTACCAGAGGAAGCACAAGCACAGGCTTATTTTTAGCAGTCTGGAGCAAAAGCCAATTCTGCAAAGAGAGTCGTGGATGACACGGTTGCAAGTCACCTGGAAACAGCTACAGGCACAAGCACCATTTTGAGGCTGTGTAAGCTCTTAATTCCTTAACAATGCTTTTTCTAAGCTGTAAAAGACCTGCCAAAACAACTTCTGGAACGGAGGCAGCTTCTGAGTGCCATCTGCTGGCTACACCGCTGCAGATCTGCAGGCCTCCATATTGCCGTAAATGACGTAGAAGCAATGCCCAGGGAGGAAGCAATGGGTTTCCACAGATGCCAGAAGAGCAAGCCAAGCCAGCAGATAAAGTGTTTTTTCCTCATAAGACCAGTTCCTCCCCTAAGACCCTAGGTTATTTTTAAACGAAGGGTGGAAAATTATGTTGGAATTGCTAAATACTCAGACTTCAATGCGTGTGCTTTGTAAGTAAAAGTCACTGAAGCAGCATCACTTGTCCAACAAAATCATTGAAGATTATGAGAAACAGCACAGCAAATTGATATGCTACCATTTAATTAAGATACATATGATGTTTTTAATGCAAATTTGACTTATTTTGGCAAGTCTAGGAATTTTCCACCTAAACAGTCTTGCCTGTATGATCCATCTATATTTTACTAAGCAAGCTGGCAAACACAAATATAAAGGACATTCTTGCAGTTTTATTTTGCTATATACAGACAACCACAAATCACATTTGCTTCATTTTTTCACAATGCACTTATTCCAAAGTAGCATCTTTTGTGGTTTCAGCCTGCCCCAGACTTACAGCTGACTTGTGGTCGTTGGCCAGGATGATCAGCTGCTGTGCCAGCCCGTTCAGGAGCCTCGTTCGAAGGGACAGGTCCTCAAAGTCGTGGCGGAAAGGGAATGCCACCCCATCAATTACCACCAGCCGCACCTAGGTGGGGAAGAAAGGGAAAAACTGAGGTAACTATCCAACTAACGAATGACAAAAAGCAGCAAGACTTCTTTTGAAGTGCCCTGGAATGTTTTATTGAAGGTGATGACAATCTTATTACATACTCAGATGTGCATGGCAGCGTAACACCTATTGTCTCTATATATTGGAGACAACCAGCCCTCCACAAGAGCGCAGGGTGAAGAACCTCAAGCTCCAAACACACTAGGGTTTGTTCGCAGAGAAAGGCTGGACCAGGTGATCCCTGAGGTCTCTTCCAACCTGGCATTCTATGCTTCTGCAATTCCAGTACCCCTGCAAAGTGCACTGCTGCATGATGCTCAGAGCATGGAGGCACTGGCCTAAACAAAGCGCTGTGCTGAGCTCTCCCGTTAGTCAGAGCAGCAGAGCTGCCCTTCCGACTGCTCTGGGCTTGCTCCCTGACAGCCAGCTGAGTTATCTCTGCAGCACCTGGTACAGAATACAAAACATCAAAGCTGGACTGAAAGCCTTGCAGAATGGAAGAGGGAAAAAAATATTTCACCTTCTCCCTCGACAAAACCAAACCGAAATTAGAATGCATGCTGCCTGTAGTCACTGTTAAGATAACCCATCTGATTCTCAGGCTCAGATCTGTGATCTATCTTAGAAACAAGGATTTCAACAGATGCTTAAAGATATTCCAGGCACTATGCACTGGAGCTGAGTGTCTGTCTTGCCTGAAGATGTTTGCTTTGCTGAATTATTTCTTCTGTAGCAATCATTAGCTGAAGGCAGAACACAGTGCTGCTGCTGGTTCATCACCCTCAAGACACTATATAAACATTAGTCTGGATTTTGATTTATTCTAACTTCATTCCTTGGAGCTGTTTTGATGACCCAAGTTTGTCTGAAATACAGAAGGGAGACGGATAGTTTTACAGCATCTGCATGCTCAGATGTCACACAAATCCTAGGTATCTACAAGTTCTTGCATTAATGCAAAAGAGACAAATTGGAAACAACACAGGAAAACTGATTTTCTGTATTATTGATTTAGCTCATTACTGGGAAGTTGCTTTGTGACTGGAACATACAAGCCTGAAGCAAACATCACTCTGTGAAATGGCCCCAGACCTCCAACTGAAAAAAAAAAATCTTAATTTGACAAAGAAGTTTAAATGCTTAGATTTAAAAGAAGATATTCTTCTGTTTCTACATTTAACTTCCTTCCTGCAAATTCTTTTCTATAAGCCTCTACATCTTCCTCATGTATAATTTTTTGACTTTTAGAACAATCAGTTTAACAGTATAAACATGACTCATACTACAAAGGAATGTATACAACTATTTAACTTGCCTATCAGATTAGTATGTCTGGGTAGGACACAATTTAGTTTATTTTCCCCCAGTTACACTTGTTATAAAATAGCAAACAAGTAGACTTAAAAGTATTGAAAAGTAGGATATATGGAGAAAGGTTAGTAACATACCTTCTCCATGTGAGTTTGCCTCTACTAGACTTTAAAGAGTTATGTTTATTATGACAAGAATATTTTCTAACATAGTCTTTCTCACATTATTGGCCTTTCTCACATTATTAACAAGATCTCAAACTAATTAATATTTCCAAATGACACTCTCTACAGCCACGTCTCTCAAAAAAAACCCTCTAAAACCTGGAGACTCCCTGTGATCCCAGACTCAGCCCCAGGTCTGCACAGAGGGATCAGGCTAATTTTAATGAGAGATGGAGTGCAATAAGCAATCTGTCAAGTCACTTATAGCCCATCCAAGGAATCACCAGAAGGTCTTACGGTTCTCCTGCAACCTTCAGTATTTCAGGCTCCAGGCCAAGCACAGATAATCAGCACAGATGGTACCAGAGAACTGCAGCCCAATGTAACTGTGCTAATGAAGCCATGTACTTTCCACAAGAGCAAACACAACAGGGCACCGTTAGTACCTGGCAGAGAAAGGGAGATACCAGACTACACTAAGCAAAAGTAAGACTCCCATCTGTGCTTTCCAGAACATAACAGCTTCCAAAAATGGAAATTATGTGCAAAAGACAATGTAACTGAACAATGCTGATTTGTGCTCTACTAGAGTGAGGCACAAGTCACCTTCCCCAAATCCTGTTACGGAGCGATGTGCTGTGCAGAGTCCACAAATCTGGAAGGGAGGTGGTGAAAATCTGCCTTACAATAGCATTTCACTAAGACACTAGGTACTAGGAAACTTCTTGGCTGTAGTCCACCCCAGAGTCAAGCTGCAGGCTCTGGTTGCTTGTAGCAACAGAAGATGTATTGGAAAGAAGAAGAGTCACTTTCTGGATGCCAAGATGGTGAAGGATGCTTCTGGTCCTCAGTGATCTTCTAGTACAAAAAAACCCCAGCACTATGCCCTTCTTATCCCAGCACATCGTGGTCATCACACACTCACTGGCTCAGGGACTCTTTTGTAAAGCAGTTCTGTGATGATTCTGTGACTTGCTGCCACAGAAATGTAACAACATGTCGCAACGTAGATCCTGCATCCTCGTCTCACAGTGGAGATTCAGGATGATGGCAGCAGTAGCAGCAGAAATAAACTACTCTTAAGAGTAAACAGGGTGGGAATGAAAAAGCAAACAAGTTTACACTTGTACTCTGGCATTAGCAAGTGTATTACTGCCAAGCTGATGAGGTACCCAGGTCTTACTTAGGTTACTCTTACTGTAACAGATGAACATCCCTGAAAATCTTTTGTGTGAAGATGAGTGGTATCTTCTGATCAGTCTGCTATAACCCTTACCTTGGAATGCTCTGAAAGGAAGTCTGGGAGGAGGTAGACCTGTGCAAGAAGCTCTACGTAGTCACAGCAACGGAAGTAATATATGTGAGAAAGGATATTTTCAAGAGAGAAAGTCTCCAAAGCTTTCAGATGATCTGGGAACAAATAAAGAGATGAGTAAATGAGTCAGAAGTCTGTACTAGCATGTTGCTACTTTCATCGTTCTACCAAACTATGCCTTCCACATATAGCAGCAGCAAAACCCCTAGAAACAGAAACTGTCAAGGTAAAGAGTGTGGAAAACATACCTTCCATCTGGCTTGAAAGTCAAGGAGGTGGTGAGCAGATGCTATCTCAGCATTTGCACACAGATACACCGGAGCCTCCAAGGGAGTGCTCCAAAGATGAAAAATATATTTCTGAAAAAAGAACTTCTCCAGTAAATAATTTTCAAGCCAGAACACCACCAGAAGACAACTGACTATTCATCATCCATTGTTTAATGTACAGGCAGTAGCTCATTTAATTTAGTGTCCTTTTACCTCAGTTCAGACAGAAGTTTCCTGCATAAAATACTCTAACAGCCACATAAAAATTGTGTCCCTATTCCAAATACATTGATGACATAGAATAAAACTCTTCATTAAAGGCAACCTGGCTATATTGACATTATGAAGGAGAGCAGTTCCAGCTACAGTTTTACAATATGGGTCTTCAGCAGCAACAATGCCTTAAGAAATTCTTCCTGTCATATCACAGAATCATAGAGTCCCAGGTTGGAAAGGACCTCAGGGATCACCTGATTGAACCTTTTTTGGCAAAAGCACTGCCCTTGCATTGCAGCGTGTTACCCCTCAGTTCTGCTGACAGAGTTGTGTTTGGGTTTTACTGTAAATGTCATCATTAAAGTGCTAAACAAAAGCCAAAAACCTACAAATTATCATGTAGAAAATTAATTACTCTTATAGTATATCAGCTCAGTCTGCAGCATGGCTCCACATACTGCCGCAGTTCAGGGTATGATCAGGTTTCTACAGGTGGGAATAAAAGGCCTGCAGCAAGAACTCCTTAAGCCAGTACTGCTGCACCCCTCAGACTGGAAAACTGCAGCTTGTGAGCCTCTTGTTTCACTCCAATCCCAGCCTAGGAGACAGAAAGAAATGACTGAGCAGCACACCTTCTTCTTGATGAGCTTCAGCAATCAGCCGGCAATGCTGCACACAGGCAGTGGCAATATCCACCACTCTGTCCACCATGAAACTTCCTTCAGTGTCAATGAACACAGCTTCTCCACCTACACCCCCAAAGCATTCGGGGATCTGCACATCCACGGCCAGCTGCATACTGCCAAGGGAAACAGAACAAAGAGAAATGTTTCCATCACAAAGCTCTCCCCTCCCAACTTACTCCTGAAGTGACATTTCTGCAGGAGGAAGCAGTACAGCCATTATAATGATCATATTTATAATGTAGAAGAACCAGAAATTGCATCACAAGAAAAACAAACTCCTCATAGTGAAGCTAAACAAACAGAAGTGACTCTCAGTTGCACGGAAGTGATCTGAAATGAAAATACCATAGCTGTGTCTTCCCAACACCAGGTGCTCCACAGATCTCGGTGATTTTTGTTAGCTGCACACCACCTCCCAGAATATTGTCTAGCGCTGAACAGAAGGTGATGATGAAGCCCTGGGCTTGCTCCTCTTCCAGAAGTTCCAGTGCTGTGCACTTCCTGATGGCACATGATCCCCCAGCAGTCCTTGCTGCATCCCCGTGACACTCCTGCCTCACAACCTGTAACGCTTCCAGTGCCTCTTCTTTGGAGATTCCAATTTCTAGAAGAGTCAAACCATGAGAGATCACCTTATTTTTATAAACAGTGATTTATTTAAAGTATGAAGAGATAATTTGTTTGACAGAACCTGGTCATTCTGCAGTGTAACTCAAGTATTAATCCTTTTAGTAGAGTGCTGCACGCAGCTTGCCAAGCCCTCTGGACTAATGATGTGATTTTTCAAAAGAAATCAGAGCAATGATGCCCTGTGTCCAGAATTCAGGGGACAGAAAGCTATCTGCCATAAAAGAAAATCAAATCTGCTGCTCATAGACATAGAGGTGGCAAAGCAATTCACTCCTTCTGACTGAATGTGCAACTGCATTAATTAATGTAATTTGAAGCAAATAAAGTCACAGAATCCCATCACAGTGGGGGTTGGAAGGGCCCTCTGGAGATCATCTCATCCAATCCCCCTGCTCCAGCAGGGTCACCCACAGTAGGTTGCCCAGGATCACAGGTTTGGAATCCCTCCAGAGAAGGAGACTCCAAGCTCTCTGGCCAGCCTGCTCCAGGGCTCTGTCACCCTCACAGGAAAGAACCTTTTCCTCATGTTCAAGTCCTGTAAAAAGAGTCAGCTTGCAGACTAGTAAGTGACAGTGACACCTACTGATCGTGCTCTGAAGGCTGAGGGTATTTCAGGGCTGAGCACCTTCGGCACCGTCCCTGCACAGACCGAGTAACAGAGATACCTGCAGGTGCCTCTGCGTGCCCGTCTGCACACACACAGCTCTGTCAGGAGCCAGCCACCTCACTCGGATCTTCAAGGCAAAACAATTACCACATATTATCATGGAGAATAAAACTGATAATAAAAATCACTACACACTTCTCACAATAGCTGTGCAAAACTTATTTTAGCTTCTTGAAAAAGGCCACTTGCTGACTTCACAGAAGTTTATTTTGCTTTGAGCACATACAGTTGGGCAAAGAAGAGGGATGAGAGAGACAGAATCCTCTGGGTTTTCTTTTTCCATACCCTGTTTATATCTATCACTCATGAGAAGGGTCAGGATCAGGATTTTTGGTTTTGTTTTTGTTTAGGCACATGTCTAAGTCAGTAACTATTCACTTTGCCCGCTTCTCTCGGCCCCCGAGGCCTCGGAGACATTGCTCCGGGGAGGGGCCACTTCAGCCTCACCTGCCCGAGGTGCTTCAGCACGCACTGACCACTCCAGCAGGCGCCCCCCGCTCCATAATACGCTCTCCTCT